AACCGTGAGATCATGACCTGAGCCAAAGTCGGGCGCCCAACTGACTAAGCCATCCAGGCACCCCGAAAAATATTGAACTTATAACTAACCTTCCTCAATTTACCTGTATTTATTCTCATTCCTTAAATGGTCATATAACGCTAAGGCATATATTCAGTTTTGATATTTATGTAAGGGGCCAAATGAAGAGATCACATGAACATATAATTCTCTCATTCTCTAAAAGAAAGGCAATTTTACATATCTTGTATAGCCCTTGTTTGCTCAATAAACTGTTTTAGTTTATTAAAGTAGAATAAACACCAGAGATTTTAAACTGTCAGGGTCAGATGATGAAGTATCATAAAGAGAACAGTTTAGCCTCCACTTCAATCAAAACACATGTCACCACCATCCTGTAAGCCCCTTTCATTGTCTCTCTCCCCCAAAGTCACTTCTTCTTTTACCTACCTTTTTTACTCTACAAAAAATAGGATCCCATATTTATTTTTGTGTGACTTCCTCAATATTCTGTGTGTAAAAACTATCCATATTGTTGTGGGTCATGGCTTTACTTTGACTGCTGTATAGTATTCCTTTATACAATTTATTCATTCAGCTATTCACAGGCATTTGGATAGTTTCTATCAACTTTTTAAAAAGGCAGATGATCATCTTTGAAAGTAAAAATGTTTCCTCAGAGTCATCCTTTGACAAGTTGAGAACAGTTATGTGAGCCTCAGGAAATGTTGAGAAGAAATGGGTAAAGAAGAGAAAGAACAAAAACAAAAAACAGACAATGGTTGTAAATTAGTTTAGAAAAGGTGAAAATTATTGTTCTGTTAAGTAAATAAATTAATTTGCAGGCCATGCAGAGTGAAAATTTAATTTGGGGGGTGTTTTAGAAAGAAAAAGTCAACAGCTCAATTAATATTTTAAAAATTATATGCAATTTACTTGATCAATAAATTTACCATTTTGAAGGAAACATTAGAATTATATTCAGTAATAAAAATGTAGATTTCATTTCCAAGTTATGGATAGCTAGAAGAAAGAAAACAGAAAAAAAAGGGAGCAAAGAAGAGAACTTCATGGAGGCCAATCCAACCAAATAATTAAATTGACTAGTTTCACTTTATACTGATTAACAGTGATCACAAACCAGGGCGTGTGGTGGCTCAGTCAGTTAAGCATCAGACTCCTGACTGCGGCTCAGGTCGTGATCTCATGGTTCATGGGTTCCCGGATTTGTTCCCTCTCTCTTCCCTCCCCCCCAAAATAAAAAACTTAAAAAAAAATCACAAACCTCAAAAGGGCACTGGCTGCACTGGCTAGTAATACTTGCATGCTTCTTCAGTAACTTGCATTACCAACCTTTGAGATACATTCTTTTTCTTCTGGCACTGCCCAGTCCTACGACCCCACGGCTGATAACCCCACTTCCTAAATTGCTCCTACCTCTCACAAGTCCTCTGTTTTGTGTACTTATATATGTATATTTATTATTTTTTGTAATTTGGCAGTTTCTGCCCTCTTTTAAAGGCCATCCGCATCTCAGTAAATGCTCAAGCCAGAAGTTCAAGTACAAGTCAATCTTAATACCTTGATGCTGCTCTCTTCCTCATTCTCATAGCCATCTATGAGCAAGTTTTGATGTTTGTACCTCCAACATACTCTCAAATCCTGGTCATTCTATCTCCACTGCCACTACATTAGTCCAAGTTACCAACTTATCTTACTTGCCTGCAATGGCCTCTTAACTGGTCTGCTACTCACTTGCACTGATAAAACTCTTCACATAATAGCCAGAATGGCCTTTTAAAATGCTCATTAGGGGCACCTGGGCGGCTCAGTCAGCTAGGCGTCCGACTTTGGCTCAGGTCATGATCTCACCGTTCGTGGGTTCGAGCCCCGCATCAGGCTCTGTGCTGACTGCCAGCTCAGAACCTGGAGCCTGTTTCAGATTCTGTGTCTCCCTCTCTCTCTCTCTCAGAAATAAGTAAAACATTAAAAAAAAATTAATGTTTATTAGATCAGGTCTGTACCTTGCCTAAAAAGGTTTATTGGCATCCTGCTGCACTTAAAATCCAAACTAACATGTCACTTTCTCAACCTCATCTCATACCCTTCTTCCCTTGGCTCACTGGGCACCATAGCCTTCATTCAGTCCCCAGAAAATACTGAACTCACTACTGCCTCAGGGCCCTAGTACACACTCCCGGTATGGAGCATGCTCTTCCCATCCTCCCCATTTTCATTCTTCACAGTACTAGGTTTTTTCCCATTCTTTGGTTTGTAATAAAATGTTCCCTTCTCAGAGACACTACCTAACTATGCCAGATAAAGTAGGTAGTGACCCCTCCTTTAACCTCATTCACCATTTAACATTCTAATGTATTTAGGCATCTCAGCACAATGTTATTTTATTCACATTTTAATTGTCTGTCTTCCCCTCAGTAGGATAAGCTCTATGAAGACAGGCAGTGTTAGTCTTGCTCGCCAGTATATTCCCAGACCTGGCATAATACCTGCCACCATAATAGATGCTCAATAAATAAAGGTTCATAAAGAAATGGAAGGGAATAAGGAAGGGAGAGAGGACAAGACCACTTCTTACTCCTTCGTTGTTACCACCCAGGCGTAAGCCACCATCATCTCTCACTTACTACAGAAGCCAGACTGCCAGTGTCCTCACCTCTAAGTTGCCCTCTGCTATCCATACACAACACAGCAGAGTGATCGGTTTAAAAGACTGGGTCACTACTCTGCTTAAAGCACGTTCTCCAGCTCAGAGTAAAAGTCAAAGCCCTTACCCTAGCATACGAGTCCCGGTAGGACTGCATCCTGTTTCCTCTGACTTAGTATTTGTCCTCCCTGGCTCACGCTGCTCCAGCCACACTGACCCTTTACTGTTCTTTGTATAAGCTGGGGACACTGAGCCTCAGGAGTTTTGCCTTAGCCATTCCCTCTGTCTGCAAGGCACTTTCCCCAGATATCCTCATAACTAATTCTCTCACCCATTCCACATCTTTCCTCAATAGTCACTTCCTCTATTAGGCCATTGTATTTAAAATTGCAACCCCCTCATCCACACCTAGCCCCTTTCCCCTTATAACATTTTATATGGTCATATGTTCTCTGCCTCCTCCAATCTCCACTAGAGTATTAGCTTCATGAAGGCAGAAATCTTTGTCTTATTCACTAATGTAACCCAAGCCCTTGAACTGTGCACCGAACATAGCAAATGTTCAGTAAATATTTGTTGAATCAACTGATGAGTAAAGAATTTCAGTGAACTCTTAAAAGACACTTTTCAGTTCACAAGCAGTGTCCACACTCTGATATTTATTGCACAGCAAACCATGGCAGAAATTACTGCCTGTCTACCCCTGGAGATGCTAATAAACTATTATTTTAGTATTTGGCAAAGGGATATGGTTCTGAAGTTATTTTAGGCACAAGGTTTCTGGGCCCAGTTGACTTGACAAACATTTTCTGGATACTTATTTTATGCCAGACACTGCAATCTGCTGGGATTACAAGGCTTAAGTAAGACAAAGTCCTCCTCCTCAACAGGATCTCAGTTCATGATATACGTCAACTACACAGACATTACAGTATGGTTCATAATTATATAGAGAGGTGAAGTGCAAGTTTTCATTGCAACAAGAGAGGCCTAAGTTGTGGAGACTAAGAAAAAGAGGATAAGGAAAGCTGGTTAGAAAAGATAATACTAAGGCCACATCTTGAAGGTGGGCAGGTATTTCAGGTTACCTGAAATGAGAAAGGCACTTCAGGTTAAGGGAAACAGCCTACTTAAGGACGCCAGGTGCGTGCCTGCCCTGTGTAAAATATGATGCTAATAAAGATTTAATTTAAGGACAGGTGAATGGAGATGATGGTGAAAAGGTAGAGGTAGCAGGTCCTCAAGGGTTTTATGATTCACCTTAAGAAGTCTGGAGTTTATCCTCCAAGTAGAGGAGGTAGCTTCTGAAGGATTTGAACAGGGGTGTGACAATTACTTTGTGCAGAGGATGAATTGGAGAGGCAAAACCGTGGACACGGCAGTTAGGTGCTGTTGACAGGGTAAGAAACCATGAGAGTCTGATCAAGAACAATGAGAAGAAAGACGGAAAGGGATGGATTTAGTAAGTTTTTATTTATTCTATATCATCCTCGTCATCAAACGGATGTAGAGGATGAGAAAGAAAACTACGGTTCCGGTTTAAGCAACTGAATAGGTAAGTCACAGACAATAATCGGAAGGCAGAAAAATTTACATAAGAAATAGAAGATTTAGGAAATCATAGCATTTTATTGAATTCAAGCAGCAGGGTGTTGAGAGAGAGGAAGGCCGAGGATGGAACCCTGGGGAAACATCAGGATGGGGAGGGGAAGGCAAAAAAAGTTTAATAGAGCCCTGGAATTTGTCAACAGCCCTCTAACCGGATTTCTGATCTGCATAGACGGGAGGAGCACGCAAAAGAAGGCAAATGGTGTGAAAACAGCTTGCACCAGTTCTAGATTTCCAACACAGCACCTGGAGATCGCTACAGCAATGAAAGCCTTCAGAAGTGACAGTGTATGTTTTCTCTCATTGCTAACACTCTAGCGGCTGAGTTCTCACAAAGCCTGTGATACCTGAACGACAGGGAATGGGATGAAGATAGGCGATGTGGGAAAGGGATTCAAAAAGTTTCACAAATCATATACCATCTGTGGCTGCCCTTTTAAACAAATGGGAAGAATTACCCAACGACCTCAGTTTTACATCTGTCCCCCTTTAGGCCACCAGACCCAAAGACCGTACTGTTCCTCACCGTAAAACGTCCCAGAAAATATAACACAAGGAAACCCCACAGATTGCAGAAACTGGCCCTACAATCACGCAGCGATCCTTTCCCCTCCCCACGCCTCTCCTCTCCCAAGCACTTCCTTTCTCCCTTCCGGAAGCTAGGAGGCCCCACCTACTTCCGCAACGCGGTGCTTTAGCCAATGGTCGGCTTCCCAAGGAACGTTACCTCTGACCTCAGGGCTAATCAGAGACAGTGGGACAAACTCCTCGCGAGAGGTGAGGTTGAAGCTGCCTCCGCCATCTTGGAGATGGGAGACGGGCGATGGCTGTGGTTCTTCTGCTAATGCAAACAACAAAACGGACACATTAGTCAACCGAGTGAGGTTATCATCACTGTATCTGGTCACCAAAGCTACAGAAGAAGCGAGGGTGTCAAAGCCCAGCGCGGCGACACTGATAGCTTCTCCTGCCTGCTGGAGCGGCAGAAGTGAAGTGACTGAAAACCGGAAGGATGGTGCAGTCCTGTTCCGCCTACGGCTGCAAGAACCGGTATGATAAGGATAAGCCCGTTTCTTTCCACAAGTAAGTACCCTACGCGTCTCGCGGCGCTGGCCCCAGCTGGGGCTGGGGGCGCGCGACCGGTTAGGCTCGGGGGCGGAGCCAGGCGCGTGTCCGCGCGAGACTAATCAGGGGGGCGGGGCAGGGGCGGGGTGCGGCCGGGCCTTCGTACATCTCTCGGGCCGCAAGCGGTGGGCGTGCCCGCCTCCGGTACGAGCTCTCGTAACACCGTCCCGGGCTGCGCGTTCTCGGGGCGCGTCGCCGCGGCGACCGTTTCTCGCGCTCCAGGGTTGGAACCCGCGTGTGTGCTGTTCGCCCGCCGCTTGGGGGTGGAGTGTTCGGGACCTCGGAGCGATGTCTGACGGCCCCGCTCGGGTCGTGAGGTCTTTCAAGCCGAGAGGCATCTGGATTTCACCCCTGGGGTAATAGAGAACCTAGGTGGTAATAACGCCTTAGAAGTAAATTTGAAATAGAAACAAAAACTTTTAAAATCACTCATTTTCGTCCTTGCTGTGAATGGGAGGCCAGCATCACAGAAATTAAGGATAGGTTTTTGGCCAGGATTTCAGGGAAGGTGTCTTTACCCAGTTTCTAGGAACTAACCTTTAAGGCCCCCTAAGTTTTAAAAAAAGCTTCTGATACTGCCAGGATGCATACTTCATGTTTTTAACGCACAGTAACGATAACATGGACAATAATAATACAGGCCATAATCAAGTGTCATAATAAAGGTCAATATGAGCTCTATGGGCACCTATAGGAAGCCCTTACCTGCCCCACAACTTCCAGGGCTGTTATATCCAGAAACTGCTGCAGTTAGAATCCTAGATGGGAAAATGTTCTTTTGAAAATAGGCAGAGAAAACTGCAAAATGGAAATGACTTAGTGATAATAAGATGTCTGCAAAATGTGACACGATGGCGTTTTCATTCAGCCAACTACACATTTTATTACATTTACATTACTTTGTTTTGGGAGAATCCCCAACTTTAAATAGATGGTAGCTAAGAAATTAGAACCAGTGGTCAATTATAGGAATTATTCATAGGTAAACCATTACAAAAGCAAAATTAAGTATTCAGTTTTTGGTGGGATTCGTTTTGTTTTTAACAGGGGGTGTAGATGCATTTTTATATTTCCTATGAGAGGGACCCTATAGAAATGAGTGCTTTGCAGCATAGAAAGATCTTGAGTGTTGATGTACCACTACCACCACCACTACCCTGAGCCCCCCACCTCCAGGAAGAGATAGAACACTTAACACTTGCAGGATTTACTTCGGTATATCCTGATACTACTTACTGATTTATTGGAATTTCTGAAAGCTGATGAATTGACTTCCAGTTTTTTGGAAGTGTTGGAATAGATCAGAAGATGGTGATGCGGTTACATACAGTTTGCTCCCCACAACCCCATTTCTGATTAATGCCAAACACTGCAAGCTGCTGGGATTACAAGGCTAAGTAAAACAAAGTCCTCTTAATATGGAAGGAATCTAAAATCTAAAGGAATCTAAAAATATAGAAAACCTTTTCATTGATACTGGAAACTAATTAAGGATGGCATTCACACATCAGAAATAATTTCTTCTGGCTGTCAAACCATTGAATCAGAAGAAGGGCTGATCTGCCTCTCTTTCTTCCCTATAAAGAAAGTTTTTTGAGAGTAGATAGGAATACCTTGGCAGAATCTCATAAACAGCCGGGCATTGTATTCCTTGACACAGGAGACCCACAGTGCTGACTTTTACCAGTGATTGCTACCAGTTTATATTTCCGGAGGCCATTTCCAGCAGGATATTCTAGGATACTTCTTTTCCCAGTTTCTGCACAGTGGCCCAGTAGCAGCAACTATGCTGGGCCAAGAAAAGAACTGTCCCATGATTGGTTAGGTCTTCATGATAATAGCAGAGTCAGGCTCTCGCATAACATATGGAAGAGAAGCTGGAACATATAGTTGATACATCCTTTGGCTTCTTTCCAGTCTCCCCAGTTCACTAAATACTTGACTTGGAAAAGTAAAATCACAATAAATTTAAACTCTCCTTATTATTTATTAATGCTTTACTTTTTATGTCAAAGTAAGAGTTTCAAGTAAAATACATACTAGAGGGCGAATTTATTAATTCTCTCTTTCTGTCCCTTCCCAACTCATGCTCTCTCTGTCTCAAAAATAAACAAAAACATTTTTAAAAAAAATTTTAAAGCTGTATTTTTTTTGTTTTTAATTTTGTTTTTGAGAGAGAATATGAGCGGGGAAGGGGAAGAGATAGAAGGAGACATAGAATCTGAGGCAGGCTCCAGGCTCTGGAGCCCAACACTGGGCCCGAACTCCCTAACCTAAAGATGATGACCTGAGCCAAAGTCAGGTGTGTAACCCACTGAGCCACCCAGGCACCTCTAACAAATACTGCTTTAAAAAAAAAACAAAAAAAAACACAGGGGTGCCTCGGTGGCTCAGTCGGTTAAGCGACCGACTTCGGCTTAGGGCATGATCTCACGGTTTGTGGGTTTGAGGCCCGCGTTGGGCTCTGTGCTGACAGCTAGCTCTGAGCCTGGAGCCTGCTTTGGATTCTGTGTCTCCCTCTCTCTCTGGCTCTCCCCTGTTCACGCTGTCTCTCTCTCAGAAATAAATAATAATAATAATAATAAATTTTTAAAAAATTTTTTAAATAAAAAAAATTTTTTTTAATAAAGTAAATTAAAAAAACACACACACAAAAAGTCCATGCTGTGAGGGGTGATTTACATCACACATTAGTGGGTGGTCACTTTATTTATAGAATCTTTAAAACAAGTACATTCTTAACAAGGTGAATAAAGGCACAACTAAAAACTGTCACAAAAAAAAATGATAGCAGAGCTAGTGGTTTAATCAAATACCCCTTAGTTTGTTAACGCCAATGTAAGATCGTTCTTTTCTGAAAAGGAAAGTCTAGCTTTTCGGGCTTTTGGCTAAGATCAAGTCTAAGTAGGAAAGTCTAGATGTGGCTTTTTTTTTCTTTTAAAATAAAGTCAGAGAACTGAATTATCTCTTCTTCTTAGGTTTCCTCTTACAAGACCCAGTCTTTGTAAAAAATGGGAGGCAGCTGTCAGAAGAAAAAACTTTAAACCCACCAAGTATAGCAGTATTTGTTCTGAACACTTTACTCCAGACTGCTTTAAGAGGGAGTGCAACAACAAGTTGCTGAAAGAGAATGCAGTGCCCACGATATTTCTCTGTACTGAGCCACATGACAAGGTAATAATGTGTTTTAAAATACTGGGTTTTCTATTTATAAAATTAATTTGTTTTTATTGTGGAAAATTCAGATAAGTGTTAAGAAAATAAATGTTACCTGGAAGCCATCACTTGTAAATAACCACTGTTAACAATGATATACTATTTAAAAATACAAAATGCAGTGTATTAAACGTTAAACATCCTCACACTAAGAAAGTCAGTTCAGTTTTGTGATTTACTTGAAGATCACTTTCTACCCCTCCATGTATGTTAATAAGTTTTGGGTTTACTTTATCAGTGACAGTTCTGTTTCAAAGTATTTCCCCCTCGGTTTGAAGTGCTTAGTATATTTTAGTATATTTTATTAAATCTCACCAATCATTCTTTCTTTCTTGCATTCCATTTCTACTCCAGGTAGAAAAGTATAATTATTAAAACTTAAATTGTTTTCTGGTTTTAGAATGTTTCCATATCAAGCATTTACAAAAATCTAATGTTCTTTTTTTTTTTAATCCAAGTGTAGTTGACACATGACGATGTCATACTACTTTCAGATGTAAGCACACTAAATGGACCGATCTATGTATTATGCTGCATTCACCACAAGTGTAACTACCATCTGTCAACATACAAGGCTATTAAAATACCACTGACCATACTCCCTATGCTGTACTTTTCATCCTTGAAACTTGTTCCTTCCAAAACTGGAAGCCTGGATCTCCCCACTCCCTTCTACCCTTTTGCCCACCCCCTCCCACCCCCTCCCCTAAGGCAACCATCACTTTGTTCTCTGTATTTATGGGTCTGTTTCTGCTTTTTTGTCTGTTTTTTCATTTGTTTTGTTTTTTAGATTTCACATATAGGTGGAATCACATGGTATTTGTCTTTCTCTGAATTGTTTCACTTAGCATAATACCCTCTAGGTTCCTGCATGTTGTCACAAAATGGCAAGATCTCATTCTTTTTTATAGTGAGTAATATTCTATTGTGTATATATGTGCGTGGGTACACGTATATATTTATGTATAGGTATGTATGCAGACAACACACACAACATTTTGTCTATCCATTCATCTATTAATGGACATTTGGATTGCTTTCATATCTGGGCTATTGTAAATAATGCTGCAGTAAACATAAAGGTGCATATATCTTTTCAGATTAGTGTTTTCATTTCCTTTAAGTAAATACCCAGTACTGGAATTATTGGATCATATGATATTTCTATTTTTAAGTTTTTGAGAAAATGCCATACTGTTTTTCCACAGTAGCTGCATCAGTTTGCATTCTCACCAACATAAGGGTTCTCTTTTCTCCACACTTGTTATATCTTGTCTTTTTGATAATAGTCACTCTGGGAGATACAAAGTGATAACTCATTGTGGTTTTGATTTTCATTTCCCCGATGATTAGTGATGTTGAGCATGTGTCTGTTGGCTATCTGTATGTCTTTGGAAAATGTCTCTTCATGTTCTCTGCCCATTTTTTAATTGGATTATTTGGGTTTTTGGTGTGTTGTAGAAGGTATTTTTTTTAATACTTCATTTTTTTTTAAGTTTATTTATTTTGAGAGAGAGAGAGGGAGAACATGAGAGTGGGGGAAGGGCAGAGAGAGAGAGATTGAGAATCCGGACAGGCTCGATCTCACAAACTGTGAGATCATGACCTGAGCCGAAATCAAGAGTCAGACAGACGCTTCACCGACTGAACCACTCAGGTGCCCCTTGTGTAAGTTCTTTTTGTGTTTTGATTATTAGCTCCTTATCAGATATATCTTTTGCAAATATCCTTTCACATTTAGTAGGTTGCATTTTAATTTTATTGATGATTCCCTTCACTGTGCAAAAGCTTTTGGTTTAGTCCCAATTTTTTTTTTTTTTTTACTTTTTTTTCCCCTTGCCTGAGGAGGCATATCTAGAAAAGTGTTGCTAAGGCTGATGTCAGAGAAACTACTCCCTGTGTTTTCTTCTAGGATTTTTATGGTTTAAGACACTTAGGTCTTTGATCCATTTTGAATTTAGTTTTGTGTATGGCATAAGAAAATGGTCCAGTATCATTTTTTTTTCCCCATGTAACTGTGCAGTTTCTCCAGCACCATTTATTGAAGAGTCTGTCTTTTCCCCATTATATATTCTTACTCTTTTTGTTGTAGATTCATTGACCATATAATCATGGGTTTATTCCTGGCCTCTCTGTTCTGTTACGTTGATCAATGTGTCTGTTTTTGTGCCAGTACTGTACTGTTTTGATTACTACAGCTTTGTAGTGTATCTTGAAAACTGGTATTGTGATACCTCCTGCTTTGTTTTTTTCTCAGGCATTCTTTGCTATTTGATATTTTTTGTGGTTCCATACAAATTCTAAGATTATTTGTTCTAGTTCTATGAAAAATGCTGTTGGTATCTTCACAGGGTTTGTGTTGAGTCTGTAGGTTGCTTTGGGTTGTATGGACATTGTAACAATGTTACTTCTTCCAATCCATGAGAATGGTATATCTTTACACTTATTTGCATCATCTTCAATTTGTTTTATCGGTGTTTTATAGTTTTCAGAGTACAGGTCTTTCACTCACTTGGTTAAATTCATTCCTAGATATTTCATTCTTTTTGGTGCAATTATAAATGGAATTGTTTTCTTCATTTCTCTTTCTGCTACTTCATCGTTAGTATATAAAAACAACTGATTTCATGTATTAATTTTGTATTCTACTATTTTACTGGATTCATCTATTATTGCAGTAGTATTTTGTTGGAGTCTCTAGGGTTTTCTATATGTATTATCTTGTCAACTGCGAATAGTAGCAACTTTACTTCTTTATTTTTTAATGTTTTATTTATTTCTTAGGAGAGAGAGAGAGAGAGAGACAGCGTGAGGAGGGGAGGGTCAGAGAGAGAGGGAGTCACAGACTGAAACAGGCTCCAGGCTCTGAGCTGGCAGTCAGCACAGAGCCCGACGCGGGGCTCGAACCCACGAACCACGAGATCATGACCTAAGCGAAAGTCGGACGCTTAACCGACTAAGCCACCCAGGCGCCCCAACTTTACTTCTTTCTAACCAATTTAGATGCCTTTTGTTTTTCTTACCTGATTGCAGTGGCGAGGACTTCCAGTACTATGTTGAAGGAAAGTGGCAAGAGTGGACATCTTATCTTGTTTCTGATCTTGGAGGAAAAGCTCTGTTTTTCACCACTGAGTGTGATGTCAGCTGCGGGTTTTTCATATATGACCTTTAGTATTTTGAAGTATGTTTCCTTTTTTTTTTTAAATTAACTTATTTTGAGACAGACAGAGTGAGTGGGGGAAGGGCAGAAAGAGGGAGAAAGACTCCCAAACAGGCTCCACACTGTCAGCCCAGAGCCCAGTATGGGGTTTAAACTCATGAACTGTGAGATCATGACTTAAGCTGAGACAAAGAGATGTTTAACCAACTGAGCCACCCAGATGCCCTGAGGTATGTCCCCTCTGAAGCAACTGTATTGAGACTTTTCATCATGAGTGGATATTGAATTTTATCAAATGCTTTTTCTGTGTTTATAGAGATGATCATATAATTTTTTTTTTTTTTTTTTAAATTTTAGAGGAGAGCATGAGCCAGGGGAGAGGGGCAGAGAGAGAATCTTAAGCAGACTCCACACTCAGCACAGGGCCCAGTGCAGGGCTTGATCCCACAACCCTGGGATCATGACCTGAGCTGAAATCAAGAGTCAAGACGCTCAACCAACTGAGCCACCCAGGCACCCCTAAATGATGATATGGGTTTGTCCTTTATTTTGTTAGTGTAGTGTTTCCTGTTGATTTACGAATATCGAACCATCCTTGCATCCCTGGCATGAATCCCACTTGATCCCATTAAAAGGTGAATGATCCTTTTAATGTATTGTTGAATATTTAATGTATTGTCTAAAAGCTCATATTTTACTGAGGATTTTTGCATCTGTGTTCATCAGGAATATTGTCCTATAGTTTTCTTTTGTGGTAGTGTCTTCGGTTTTGATATCAAGATAAGGCTGGCCTCATAGAATGTATTTGGAAGCTTTTCTTTCTCTTGTATTTTTTGGAATATTTTGAGGAGAATAGGTATTAACTCTCTAAGTTTTTGATAGAAATCACCTGTGAAGCCATCTGGTCCTGGACTTTTGTCTTTTGGGAGTTTTTTGATTACCTTTTCAATTTTGTCACTAATGATTGGTCTATTCAGATTTTCTATTTTTTCTGATTTATTCTTGGAAGATTGTGTGTTTCTGGAAACACAGCTATTTCTTCCAGGTTGTCTGGTTTGTAAAAAGTCGTTCTTAAATTCCATGGGTGGATTCTTTTAAACTGTTATTTGTAGTTAACTAAACTTGAACATACTCTTCATTATTGTAGAAGGAAGACCTTCTGGAGCCACAAGAACAGCTTCCCCCGCCTCCTTTAACACCTCCCATTTCCCAGGTTGATGCTGCTATTGGATTATTAATGCCTCCCCTTCAGACCCCTGATAATCTCTCAGTTTTCTGTGACCACAACTATACTGTGGAGGATACAATGCACCAGAGAAAAAGGATTCATCAGCTAGAACAACAAGTTGAAAAACTCCGAAAGAAGCTTAAGACCGCACAACAGCGATGCAGAAGACAAGAACGACAACTTGAAAAATTAAAGGAGGTTGTTCACTTCCAGAAGGAGAAGGACGACATATCAGAGAGAGGTTATGTGATTCTACCAAATGACTACTTTGAAATCGTTGAAGTGCCAGCATAAAAAAATGATATTTGTATTGTTTTTTAATGGGGCAAAACCACACACCTTCTAGCCTATAAAGGAGTTTCATTTGAAAAAAATAACACTTGATTACTTGTATAAAAACAATTCAGAATATTTTTTTAAAAAAATAAATTAGATATATACTGTAAAATTGTAAATTTTTTGTTTGTAATTTCAGGGTTTTTACATTTTAACAAAATATCTTAAAAGTTATAATCTAACCTCAGAACTCCAATGTAAGTTGGTTTCAAATTGAGGAGTTTTTTGAGTATTTATAGAAATGTAAAAATTAAAAGTAAAGTGAATGAGAACAGTACAGCAAGGATGATTTAAATTTAAAATGTAAAATTAATGCAGTTTATTAAAAGAATTTAGTTACATTATAAAACAGAAGTGTAAGTCATCATGGGACATAACTTCTCAGAATATATATATTCTTATTCACATATTCTTGTTTGTGAAGTCAGAAGATTTGTTTATCTTTCTTAGTCACTTGTCAGAGATAAATTGACAAGTCAGTACTTAAAAAAAACTGTCTTCAGAGCATAAAATGAAGAGTCATTCTATACCTAATCAATATGGTTACATAACTTTATAAAGTATGAATTTTTTAAAAAGTAGGTCCATCTTTTTTATCCCCACTGTCTAGCATTATTAAACTTGAAGTGTATTTCCAGTGGAAGAGACATTTCTTCATTAAATAAAATAAGCATTGTTATTAATAAAGTAATAAAAATGGGGGCCTGATCCATAGTATGCCTTTTTTCTTTCACTCTCCCCCAAGCTAAGGAGTACTGGTTTCCAACTATAGTTCTGTCCGTATCCAACTCTAACAGATGTGTTGTGTCGGTAGAGTTTGATTTGTACGATAATAGGACTAATTGATTTTGGTCAAGTCTTCACATAAAAAAAGATTTCTTCACTTTTAACACAAGTTAGAAATTATATCCCACTTACTTACATGAGTGATTTGTATTCCAAAGCAACCTAATGCATCGTGTTTATTTTACTGAGTATTGAGATTTAAACACTGAAGTTTCTGTTCAAACTATGAGTTGTGTTCTAACTTTATGAGAAGTTTTAGTTATATATTTGAAATGAAAATATGTTCTAAGTAAACAATACTGCCTTAGGAATTATCTACTTAGATTTAGAGTAACTTGTTCCAATTATAATTATTTTATATTTCAGAGTATACTGAGATAGTTGAGGAGTAACAGGCCTTTTTAAGGCAGTATTACAAATCTGAAACAATGACATTCAGAAGTGTCTTTTGTAGACGTGGATTTCAGTGTAATTTACTGCTATGCTGCCAGTGGATAATACCGTGATTTTTTATGAACCAGTATTTCACAAAAAGAAAATTATGATCAAAAGATTACTTGAAGTTCTATTGTCTGATAACATTTAGAACTAACTCTAATGAATCAGAAGACTTTCTCTAGCTATTCATGGATCTCATCCCTGTTTTGGAAACCCATGAAATCTCCAAGTAGTTTCTTTTTACATTTCATCTCACTAACAATTCCTGGAGAATATATGGATAAACGTCTTGCAAAGTATAAATCTATCTAAATTGTCATCTACATAAACGGAAGTGTGTGTGTGTGTGTGTGTGTGTGTGTGTGTGTGTGTGTGTCACCAGAATCAAGAATCCAACATTGAATTGTAAAAGTAGCAATCCTAATTACTGAGCATCTTACCATTATGATTTAACCTGGAGTTACATTCTTTTCCTAACAAATGTAAATCGCTATTTGGAGAGACCTGAGCAAGCAGCATGTATACCAACTGTTTGCATTTAAATAAATTATCATAGTTTAACATAGGGAGTTTGAGGTTACAGGTGGTTATTTCTGAATTTGAGATTTAACATTTGGTGAATGCTTTAAAAATTCATTTTGTCTACTGTATTGTTGATTACTTTGCCAAATAAAGGAAAACTGGGCCTTAAAATAGGTCCCGTTCAAGTACAGTGAAACTCAGTCTGAAACAAGTGGACAAATTCTCAATCTGGAACAGATAGAGGGAAGACTTATGTTAACTGCAGCATATTCTGAAAGGTTGACGTTTAAGCACATACAGTAACGTAATTAAAATGTCCATCTATGTGTGATGACATAATCTGGAGATCATGGTGTGAAGAAATAACCTCCTTAATAAAACTGTTAGGAAAACTATAGAATCATAGAATTTTAGAATTAGAAGGAACTTAGAAATGATTGAACACTAGCCTAAACTCCAAACCCTACAGACATTTGTTTGTGAAATATCAGTGATAAGTGGTTATCTATTCTTTTTAAGCAGTTATTCTTCTTAGATTCTTTAAAATGGGCTTCTGGATTAGGGAAGAATCAGTTACCACTCTTTTTGTACTTGTTTATAGTGGAAATATAAACTTCGCTTTGAACTGCTACATAGTTTGAACCATCACATTCCAAGGTAAAGAAGTTTTAAAATTTTGTAAAATAATTTAAATGTTTAGTAATTGTATACCTGTTCTGTGAACTAAAAATAATTTTGTTGTTGCAGTAAAGAAACGTGGTGGTGTTTAAAATTATTAGCAAAACTTTCACTGGGAAGTCCAAGTTTGTGAGATTTTTCTCCCCCTCTTTTCTATAAGTGAAACAGTAAGGGTGAAGGCAGATGAAAGTTTCATTTGATACACATTTTTGTTTTTGGTTAAATTAATATTCTCTGTCCATCTTTAGTTATTACAAAATTATACACATACTCAATATGGCTTTTATAAAGTCAGTGGTAAGCAACACAAATTAATAAAAGCCTATATGATCTGTAAAAACAAAATTCCCATTTATGTTCCAGGATTTTTCAAAGACAGCCATCCACGAATAACATTTAAAAGAATCACAGCAGGGGCGCCTGGGTGGCTTAGTCGGTTAAGCGTCCGACTTTCGCTCAGGTCATGATCTCACGGTTCGTGGGTTCTAGCCCCGCGTCGGGCTCTGTGCTGACTGCCAGCTCGGAGCCTGGAGCCTGTTTCAGTCTGTGACTCCCTCTCTCTCTGACCCTCCCCTGCTCACGCTGTCTTTCTCTCTCTCCTAGAAATAAATAAAAATACAAAAAAAAAAAATTATTAAAAAAAAAAAATAATAAAAAAAAAATAAAAGAATCACAGCAAACCTACAAATCTGCTTGGCTATTACTCTTCCTGATACTGGCAACCATGTGAATTGGGTGACCAATGAGTGATGAGCATTGCTCTTATGATGGTGACTGGTGTTTCCGGGCATTATGGTTTTATATAGTTGTGTATTAAAATACAATTCTTGGTGTGATCAAAAAGCAAACAATGATTTATAAATAAGCGAAAAAGCAGTTATAATTATTGTCCTTAAAATAACAGAGAAGTTACAATTCCATGCCTTGATAATTTTTTTACCTTGGATGTTGTTTCATTCTATTGAGATTTTTTTTTCCCAAATGTTAAATATTTTTTAAACTAAAAAAAAAATCTATTAAGAATTTTTATTGTTTTCTAAATTCATATTTTTTGGGGTTTTGAGATTAAAATTTCATTTTTAAGATATCCTAAGGGATATGAATAAACTCCCTTTGTTTTAAACTGTTTTTCATGGGACAAACTGTACAATATTAATAAATAGACAAATGACTTCTGGACTGGCTACATGTACACCCTAACTACCATGATTGGTTAAAAAAAAAAAATTGTTTTTAAACAGCCATTTAAGGTCTCTGCTTGTTATCTTAAGGGCATACAGCAAATGAAGAAACACTCAAGAAAATCTAAATTTCTGAAAGAGCATTAAGAGTCTGTGTTATTGGGGTGCGTAGGTGGCTCGGTTGGCCCACGTCCCAATCTCAACAGTTGGTTCATGGGTTCAAGCTGAATGCTGGGTCTCTGCTGTCAGTGCCAAGCCTGCTTCAGATCCTCTGTCTTTCTCAAAAACACTAAAAAAAGAGAGAAGGTCTGTGGCATTTATGCCGCAACTTATTCTTGCCCTCAACCACCCCCTCTCACACACACAGCACAGTGCCACAGAACTCCATTCTGAGTGGATATGGCCAAGAAGACAATGCTCACTCTCCTCCCTGTACCCAATTAAGTCCTCTGGTATCTCCCAAGGCAGGGACAGGCAACCAATATTTCTCATACACCCCTAGATTTGTGTTGCAAAGGCTAAACTACGGGTAAATGGGGCAAAAAAAAGGTCAGGACTCCCGTTCTCCACCTAACTCCCACTCACAGGGTGCAGCTTTACCCCAGGTGCAGCAGGCCAAGAGTACCCGGACTCTGATCACCCTCTTCCTAGATGCTCACAGGGCAAGGTTTTCATGCCAGAAGTAAGCTAAGAAGGCCAGAAGCTAACATCCCAACTGAGTTCTCATAAAACAAGCATATCAACCCTAGAGAAACAGATTGTGCCCTTTACCAACTGTGGCTAGAGTGGAGTGACATAGACCTTTTTCCCAGGGGAGAGGGGCCTGTAAGAACAGAGATCTCTGAAGCTCTCCTAAAAGAACTAAGTTTATTTGGAAGAGTGTGGGAGAAGTTCAAGACTAAGGGAACTCTTGGGGCACCTGGGTGGCTCAGTTGGTTAAGAGTCCGACTTCAGCTCAGGTCATGATCTCATGGTTTGTGGGTTTGAGCCCCGCGTCGGGCTCTGTGCTGACAGCCAGCTCAGAGCCTGGAGCCTGTTTCAGATTCTGTGACTCCCTCTCTCTCTGCGCCTCCCCTGCTCATGCTGTCTGTCTGTCTGTCTGTCTCTCAGAAATAAATAAAACATTAAAAAAAAAAAGACTAAGGGAACTCTCAAGGACAATGGAAAGTTTAATGGTAAAAAAATTAGAGGAGCCTAGTAACTCCACCAGAGTAAATAAACTTATTTTTAGGCTAGCTAATTTACCAGAGAGAACAGGGAAAGAAGAAGAGCCCTCTTGGGGTCGTAACAGGTCCTGAAGACCAGCTTCAAAACCTACCCTGCAAAAGTCCTGAATCTAAGTGAATCAAGCTACAGAGCAGCTTAACTTCTAGGACATCTTCAAAAAGCCATCAACTGGCAACTGGAGCTAACATCTGAGCTTGGTACCAGCAAAGGCAGTAGTTTAACAGCGAGATCAGGAAATAGAGAGCGGCCTATTAAAAGC